CTTTGATCTTCATCAGTAAATGCTTAAAGTCCTCTACGCTCACAGCAAGCAAGGTTGTATCCTCTGCATGTTACAGGTTGTTAATGGGTAACATTGTGAAGAATAGAGATTCCAGCACACTTAACTGTGCTCATGCAGAACCTGTACGTAGACCAAGAGGCAGTCATTTGAACAGAACAAGGGGATACTGCGTGGTTTAAAATCAGAAAAGGTGTGTGTCAGTGCTATATCCTTTCACCATACTTATTCAATCTGTATGCTGAACAAATAATCCAAGAAGCTGGACTATATGAAGAAGACAAAGCATCAGGATTGAAGGAAGACTCATTAACAGCCTGTGATATGCAGATGACACAACCTTGCTTACTGAAAGGGAAGAGGACTTGAAGCATTTACTGACAAAGATCAAAGACTATAGCCTTCAGTATGAATCACACCTCAAGATAAAGAAAAGAAAAATCCTCACAACTGGACCAATAAGCAACATCATGATAAACAGAGAAAAGATTGAAGTTGTCAAGGATTTAATTTTACTTGGATCAACAATCAACACTCATGGAAGCAGAGTCAAGAAATCAAACGAGTATTGCATTGGGCAAATGTGCTGCAAAAGACCTCTTTAAAGTGTTATAAACAAAGACGTCACTGTAAGGGCTAAGGTGCACTGACCCAAGCCATGGTATTTTCAGTCGCCTAATATGCATGCAAAAGCTGGACAATGAATAAGGAAGACTGAAGAAGAACTGATGCTTTTATGGTGTTGACGAAGAATATTGAGTATACCATGAACTGCCAGAAAAACGAACAAATCTGTCTTCGAACAAGTACAGCCAGAACGCTCCTTAGATGGGAGGATGGGGAGACTTCATCTTATGTACTTTGGACATATTATCAGGCGGTACCAGTCCGTGGAGAAGGACATCATGCTGGGTAAAGTAGAGGGTCAGTGAAAAAGAGGAAGACCCTCAACAAGATGGATTGACACAGTGGCTGCAACAATGGGCTCAAGCATAACAACAACCATGAGGATTGCACAGGACTGAGCAGTGTTTCGTTCTGTTGTACATAGGGTCGTTATGAATCAGAACTGACTTGAAGGCACATAACAACAACAACAGGAAGTTTCCATAACTGTGCCCCTTATGTGCTCTATTATATGTATGAATATATATGCAGGACATACAAATATGTGTATACAAATGCACTTATGAGTCTAGTCTTCTTCTCATTTCCTGTTAGAGCACCTTCTTCCCCGCAACTACCTACCCTCCTAAATATCTTTCTTGCTCTTCCATTTCCTTCTTTTTCTCCACAACAAGCAAACAGTTGTCTTCCCTGCACGTCTCTCTCTCCTCCAACTCCTGGCATGTGGTGCGTCTGGGTAGCAGGTTACTCTTAGACTGTGGTTACACGTGCAGGTAGTCCCCAACTTGCAATGCGATTCTGTTTGTAAGTCGGTTCTGACGTAAGTAGAACACCTCTTTTTTTTTTTTCCTTTTTTCATTGTTGCCTTTTATTATCAGTATATTTATAAATCTGAGCTTTATTTTTGTTTGGCAGCTGGAAACTTTACATATAAACTTACAGGTATATTTTAATACATACATACATACATATGTAAAAAATACACAGATCATAAAAATTTACTTTGACGGTGAAGAAGAGTTGGACGACATTGGCATTTTGTCAGCTTCAGTAATAACTCCACATGTGAAAGTTTCTGGATCATTTTTATTATCCCTGAGAATGGGAGTAGCGTTTCTAGTCAGAAAGTTAGTGAGAGTTGTCTGTATGGTCCTTTTCTTTTTTTCTTCATATATTTCGTGGTAACAGCTCACTGCTTCCCGAATCTGCCTATTGACTTTAACCAAGTGGTCAGCATTCGGGTCCATGTTTTCAAGCAACTGAAGCCCTTGATTTAGTTTAGAAAAAACTCCAGCTAATCCTTTTACTGTCAAATGTTTTGACAACTTCTCTCCTTCCGTTTCCTCATTATTTCTTTCTTCAGCATTTCTTTCCTCTTCAAAATCCAGTTAAGTCCTGATCTGTCAATTCCCCTTCTTCATGATCTATGAGCTGTTCTGTATCAGAGATACCAAGGTCTAAATTCGGCGTTCTTGCCATATGGATGATTTTTCTACCAGTCTCTTCCACATTATCATGATCAGATGCTTGGAGCATGTTCACATAACTCAGCAATATTTTTCCATATCCACTGCATGCATTTTCCCGTAACTTCCTCCCAGGAAGACGCAATGTTCCGTATACACTGATGGTTGTGTAAGTGTGGTTTGTCATAACTTGAATCCAACATAAATCGTAAATCGAGGACTACCTGTACTCTAGGATGAGTCACCTGGTAGCAGCTTTTTTATACCCTGAGGCCAAGAGAGGAAGGCTTGATTTCCCTGCGAGAGTTCACCTTCTGGTAAAAGTGTATGCCCAAGGATATGAGCTACCTCGTTTCTGCCTTCTTCCTGTTACTAATTCCCATCCCCTCCTCGCTGCCCACTTAGCACTGCATACCACTCAGAAGAGCATCTTGCACATTGGGCAGCCTTCTTCACCTCAGCATTACTGTGACATGAAAAATGGTTATTGTAGGGAAAGTGGTAATGTTAAATACTAAGTCCTTCAGGTTCTTACAGGTTATAAATGATGCTGAGATTGAAATAATTGGGAATGAAGGTGTTTGTTGTAAGGGGGAATATTAACTTCTTTCGTTATGTTGTTAATTGCTGTCGAGTCAGCTCTGACTCCTGGTGACCTGATGTATAACAGAATGCAATGTTGCCAGGTCCTGTGCCATCTTCATGATCATTGGTATGTTTGAGTCCGTTGTGTGAATCTATCACATTGAGGGTTTTCCTCATTTTTGCTGAGCCTCTACTTTATCAGACATGATGGGCTTTTTTCCAGTGATTGTCTTTCCTGATGACATGTCTAAAGTAAGCATTCCAAAGTCACACCATTCTCGCTTCTAAGAAGCATTCTGGTTATATTCCTTGTATTTCTTCTGACTCCTCTTTTAATATTATGTGCTCACAAAGCTTAAAGTTTCCTGCTTTCTGCACACGCAGGCTTCTTGTGCAAGTCTTCAAACACTGATGCGTGTCTTGTCAATGTGATCAGTTTTTCATACTTAAATTTTTTTAAATGTGGAAACACTCAAATCAGGTACAAGTAGTTTCATGCTGGGGGCTCTTCTGCCATCCATTTATGACTGGAAAACTGGTCTGTGTGAGCAGCCTGGAAATATAAAAGGCCAAAACTTTGCATTAATGAATAGAAAAAGCATATCAAACACTACTTCCAACCGTACCTGAAAATGTTTTATAGGAACTTTTTTTGCTAAAATAATTGTTGTTAGCTGCCATTGAGTCGGCCCCCGACTCATGGTGACCCCATGTGTTACAGAATAGAACTACTCCATAGGGTTTTCTTGGCTGTAATCTTTACAGAAGCAGTTCGCCGGGCCTTTGTTCTGTGAAGCTGCTGGGTGGGTTCGAACTACCAACCTTTAGATTAGCTGCCGATGGCAAACTGCTCGCACCACCCAGCCTCCTTCGTTAAAGTAATTACTCCATCACAATTAGTATATAGTTGATAGTCTGTTGTTTCTACAAAGTACTGATGTTATTGTTGTGTGCCATCGATTGGATTCCAACTCACAGCCACCCTATAGGAGAGAGTAGAACTGCCATGTAGGGTTTCCAAGTCTGTAAATCTTTACAGAAGCTGACTGCCATACAGGGGCAGGTTATCTAATAGACAAGGTAAGCACGGTGCTTACCTTGCTTACCAGATCATCTGTAGTGAATTTGTTCACTACAGATAGTAAGTAAGCACAAGTAAGCCCATGCTTACTTTGCTTACTGGTTCATCTGCCCTGTCAGGGATTGTAAATTTGAAAAGAGGCTCTGATTCTGTAGGAAGGTGCTGTGGGGTTGGGTAAGAGACAGATGCAGCCATACCTAGAAGCAGAATCTTTGCTGTGATGAAAAATATGAAATTGTTCACTACAGGTAATCTGGTAAGCAAGGTAAGCACCATGCTGACCTTACTTTTTAGATAATCCAGTCCTGCTGCCACATCTTCCTTCCACGGAGTAGCTGGTGGGTTTGAACCACCAACCTTTCTGTCAGCAGCCGAGCGGTTAACTGTTGTGCCACCAGGGCTCCTAAAGCACTGATAGCAATCAGTGGAATTACTCAGCTTTTCATCATTATATTTTCAGCAATGTAAACTCTTGTTTTAAAATTTAATTTAAAAAATCAAAATGATGTGTTCACGTATATGTTATTGTTGGTTGCCGTCGAATTGCTTCTGATTCATTGCAACCTTATGGATAACAGAACGTTGCCCAGTCCTGCGCCATCTTCGTGATCATTGGTATGTTTGTGCATGTTGCAGCCACCGTATCAACACATCTCATGTAGGGTTTTCCACATTAGGAATTGTCAAACTTGATTTTATGTCAGTTTCTTTCTTTTTTTAAACAGTCATACTCAGTCCTTCCCTGAGAACTGAACACACCTGAGGTTTTATCAAGTCCATCATTGGAGAAGCAGTAGCACCAATCACCTTAAACACCTCTTGCTTTTTACTATGAAGAAAAAAAAAAAGTAATCTCTTGTGGTAGGAAAATGATTTTTAGATTTTTGAGAGCCAAGATGAAAATGGCTTTAGAAGAAAATCAGGCCAAATCTTTGGAATTCAAAGTGACTAAGCACCCAGACAGTGGAAACCCTGGTGGCGTAGTGGTCAAGAGCTACGGCTGCTAACCAAAAGGTTGACAGTTTGAATCCACCAGGTGCTCCTTGGAAACCCAATGGGGCAGTTCTACTCTGTCCTATAGTCAGAATCGACTCGACAGCAACGGGTTTGGTTTTTGGTTTTAAGCACCCAGCAGAAACACAGTGTAAAACTTGTCTGTTACATGTCTGCCCAGAGTTCTGAACTAGACTTCCTTTTTAATAATTTGGACATTTCTTTCGTAGTGATACAGGAACAACACCTCCAGAGAGTGGTATTTTTGGATTCATGATAAACTTCTCTGCATTTCTTGGTAAGTGCACAACAGTTGTTATAAATAAATGAAAGTTTATAATCCCCTGTGAAGTAAAATGTGTTATTTGCAGTTTGTGTGTGGTCCTTTTAAAGTACGACCTTACCAGCTAGAATTTTGCCATACTTTAAGAAACTTAAGTGACTAAAAATCCAAACTTATTTATGGCCTCCTTATGGAACTATACTTTATCTGGTAACTTGTCACAGGATTTGCTGTAGGTCGTTTTAAATACCAAATTCCTCAAATGGTTGTAAAATGTACTGTGATTTTTTAAGTGGTGATTTACATCCAAAGACACAGAAAGCATAAGCTAATGTTTTTCAAAGTGTGTCCTGAAGGCAACTTACATTGAACTCATATGGAGTGCTGGTTAAAATGCACGTTCCCTGTCAGAAATTCTGGGAGTGAGGTCCAAGAATATGCACGGTAAACAAGCACCCTAGGGGACTTGGATGATCACTAAAGCTTGAGAACCACTGACAAAAGTATTATCCCACCTGTTAGAGAAAGGGGAAGGATGAAGCAAGGAAGTTTGTCTTCAACCCAGATAAGATTTTTCTTGTCATTTCCCCAAATGTACACTGCAACTCCTTCACCTGAGATGCAGTGGACATGATCCAACCCTATCATGAGCCAATTAACTGTAATGGATGAAACGCTCCATCTGCCATAGGCTGGCCTGGATATATAGATGTAGGCCTCTTTCTCTTACTCTTTCCACGACTGCCTACTCTGTGGAGCAATCAAATGTTTGCCAAGAGCCTCTCATGTAACCAGCAGAGGTGCTGAAAACCCTGGTTAGCGACCTGGCATCTTTGGAATTTGTTCATCCTACTTGGTAAAGAAGAGAATGTTTGACCCTGTCACCCACTGTGGTACTTTCTCCCAAGGTTTGCAAAGCAAGCAAGGGGAAGTAGAAATACGAAATCAGTAAATCCCCGTGCGCTCTTACACCACCATTGCCAAGAGTCCAGAACTAGAAAACATTTTATCATGAACAAGTGATAAGTAAAGCTTTTTGCTTCCAGGCAAGGCAGAATCTGACATGAACATATCAGTTTAAACAGGGAGAAAAGATTCTTTCTCTGCAAACCAATACATATATATTTTTAATTTTTAAAAACTTTTATTGTCGTGAAATATATATAACAAAACATTTGCCCAGTCATTTTTATGTGTGTAATTCAGTGACATTAATTACATATCCGTATTGTGCAAACATCACCACTATCCATTTCCAAAGTTTACCACCCTAAACAGACAGTCATACCCCTTAAGCAATATCTCCTCATTTCCGCCTCCCACTCACCCCTTGTAACCACTAATAAACTTTGGTCCCTAGATATTTCACATAAGCAAGATTATATAATATTTGTCCTTTTGCATCTGACTTATTTCACTCAGCATAATGTTTTCAAGGTTCTTCCGTGTCACAGCATCCATCAGAACTTTGTTTCTCTTTATGGCTGAATAATGTTCCATTATATGTGTATTCGAGGAGCCCTGGTGGTGCGGTGGTTAAGCGTTCAACTTATAACTTACATCTGCCCTATGGGGCAGTTCTACTCTGTCCTACAGGGTTGCTATGAGTCGGAATCTTGACATGCACACACACACATACATGCACACACACACACACACACACACACACACACATACATGCACACACAAATGACTAATGACCTTGAGAATCTTCATGTGCTTGTTGTCCATTTGTATATCTTCTTTGGTAAAATGTCTATTCAAGTTCCTTGCCCATTTTTTAATTGAATTGTTTGTCTTTTTGTTGTTGAGTTGTAGGAGTTCTTTATATATTCTGGGTATTAAGCTCTTATTAGAGATATGGTTCCCAAATATTTTCTCCCATTCTATAGGCTGTCTCTTCACTTTCTTGATAAAGTCCTTTGGTGCACAAAAGTTTTTAATTTTAATAAGCGCTTAACCACTGTGCCACCCACTGCCATCAAGTCGATTCCAACTCATAGAGACCCCATAGGACAGAGCAGAACTGCCGAATAGGGTTTCCAAGGCTGTAAATCTTTCTGGAAGCCGACGGCCACATCTTTCTCCCTCAGAGCAGCCGGTGGGTTTGAACTGCTGACCTTTCCGTTAGCAGCTGAGGGCTTTAACCACTGCAACAACAGGGCTCCGTAAATAAAGTGCAAGATAAGCTCTCACTAAACGCTGGAAGTATTATAATTCTCTATCACCCTCCCTCTCCTCTCCCCCAATTTAGTTGAGTCTCTCAACTTCTCAGTTATCCTCCTACTGTGACAAGCTTCTGACTGGCCTCCCTGCCTCCTACTCAATAGACGCATTTGCTCATCAATGAAGTAATAGAGGAAAAAGCCCTATCTGGCCCCTTCAATCCACCCTTCACTGAACTGCCGGAATTATCCTCAAAAGCCCGGTTTCAATCTTGTCACTCCCCTGCTCAGAAGACTTTCCTGGGTCTCCATCACTCGTAATTTATCTTTTTAATTGCTTGTGCTTTTGGCATCATATGTAAGAACCCATTGTGGAAAACTAAGTCTTAAAGCATTACTCCTAAATTTTGTTCTAGGAGTTTTATGGTTTTATCGCTTATATTTAGGGCATTGATCCATTTTGAGTCAATTTTCATATGTGGTGTGAGGTAGGCATCCAACTTCATTCTTTTGCAGGTGGAGATCCAGTTGTCCCAGCAGTATTTATTGAAAAAACCATTCTTTCCCCATTGAATGGATTTAGGACCGTTGTTGAAACATTTGGCCATAGATGTATGGGTTTATTTTTGGACTCTGAATTTTATTCCATTGGTCTATGTGTGTACTATTATACCAGTACCAGATTGTTTTGATTACTGTAGCTTTATATTTCTTTTTAAAGTAATTTATTTTATTTTGTTGTTGAGAATATACACAGAAAAACCATATACCAGTTCAAGTTTCTACATGTACAGTTCAGTGATGTTGATTACATTCTTTGAGTTGTGTAACCATTGTCACCTTCCTTTTCTGTGTCGTTCCTCCCCCATTAACATAAACTCACCACCCCCTAAATTATCTAATGTTTCAAGTTGCTGTTGTCAATTTGATCCCATATAAATAGTTCTTGAAAGAGCACAATGCTCAAGGCAGATATTCTTTACTAGTTAAGCTGAATGATAGTTTGGTTTTAAGAAGACTTCAGGGGATATTTTTGGTTTAAGGTTTAAAGATTGTCTCAGGGTAATAATTTCAGGGGTTCATTCAGCCTCCATGGCCCAGAAAATCTGGATTCCATGAGAATTTTAAATTCTTTCCTGCATTTTCCCTTTTTGATCAGGATTCTTCTATAGAATCTTTGATTAAAATGCTCAGTTATAGTAGCCCGGCACCATCCAGTTCTGGTCTCATGGCAGAGGAGGCAGTTGTTCATGGAGGCAATTAGCCACACATTCTAATTCTTCTTCCTATTCCTGATTCTCCTTCCTCTGTTGCCTCAGGGAAAATACAAATATTTTTAAAGTGATATAAAACTGCTTCTGTGTTTCTCGTTCTAAGAAATCAAATGACGAAAATTCATCAAAGTGCCTTTCCTTTTCAGGTGCAGCCACGATGTACACAAGATATAAAATAGTAGAGAAGCAAAATGAAACTTGGTATTTCAGCACTCCTGTTTTTAACTTGGTGTCGTTCGTTCTTGGATTGGTAGGATGTATTGGAATGGGCATTGTAGCCAATTTTCAGGTATGATGGGAGATGTTTTTGGTTATTGGGGGTGACTGAGTATGTGTCTGGGGAGAGAAGCAGAAATACAAGAGATTATACGCTCGAGAGCACAACAGTGAGCAGGGAGATCATTGCTGAACCTAGACATGTGATCCTGACCAAATACTTTCCTTTCCATTTTAATCCAAGTATTAAATTGTTGATGAGTTTCTAAAAATGGGAAAGTCAGTCCTGCCTTGTACATTGGAGAGATGAGGGAGCGTGTTTGTACAATTATGAGAGAGAGTGTGCTTCCAACAGTGTTACCGATTCTGCAGTGGTCCATGTTTTTGTTGATATGGTTTGATATGTTGAGAGAACTACTTCTGCCATTGTAATGATTTTGCTGAGTGTGAAAATATGTGTGTTTGTGTGTGAGTGTGAGTTTGTGAGAACATGTTGAGAGTATGTTTGTGCATATGAGAGTGAGCGTGTGGTGTGAGCGTGTGTGTTAGCGTGTGTATGAGTGTGTGTGAGAGCACGTGTGCATGTTAGTGTGAGTGTGTGTTATTTGCAGATTTTACCATTTAAACTGCTGGCATTTAATTTGGAGAGCAGCACTTGATCTCTACCATTTGCAGGTGAGGATATGGGTGCATGGAGGGACAACTTGCTCAGGGTTACTCAGCTAATGAGTCGCAGAGTCAAAATATGGCCCCACTCGAGCAAATTAACTTGTATGATGACCCCTGTGGAGTCTGATCAATGTCTTCTTACCTGTGTCAAGTGTTTGGAAAAACCCCTAATTATTCTAACTTGTGAATTCCTCCTGTTCATCTCGGGGCCTCTTTCAGGAAGGCATGGAACCTATTTGTCTCTGGAGACAATACTTTATATTTCAAAGATATTTAATTACTGTATTTCAAATTAATACTAATTGTACTAATGCCCACCTCATTGGAGATTAGGTACAGTACTCATGGTCAGTACTTTATGCCATTATGGGCATTATCAGTTTACCATTAGAGGCCTACATGAATGCAGGCCTACCTATTATATCTAGAGGATCCCCTGGGCGGTGGAAACATTTAACTTGCTAGGCCGCTAACCAAAAGCTTGGAGGTTCGAGTCCACCCAGAGGTGCCTCAGAAAAAAAGGCCTAGTAATCTACTTCTGAAAATTCAGCCATTTAAAATCCTGTGGAGCACAGTTCTACTCTGACACACATGGCATCACCATGAATCAGAGTTGATTCGACAGCAACTGTTTTATTTTCTCTTTATGATAGCAGAACAGAAGTTACTCCCAGAGGAATTGTGAACGGAAGTTACTCCTGGAGGAATTGTGGTTCTGGCCTGGGGTTCACCTTTCACTTTCTTCCCAGAGGTGGGGTGATCTTGTGTGGTGCTTATTTTCACAAGAAGGCGTCTGCCTCCCCTACTTAGCTGACTGTTAAAGTACACATCTGTACAAAGAAGTGACAATGTGAGGGTTCTGCATCCAGATATTGATCTGGGAGTAAAATAACCCCAGGCTGTTCACCTGTGCAGTCTGCTTTCCATCCATTCTCTGATGTCTGCTCCTGCATGAAGTCAGACCGTCATTAGAGAGTCCTGTCTGACCTGCACCAGGAGGGGCCTTCTGCCATCTGGCTATAGGGAGGGACATTGTGATAAAGTGCTGTGTTTACTGAGTGGTCAGGGGGAAGGAGCCCTTCATTATGTTACACAGTATCTTCTTTAGAACCACTTACTCGAAAAACCAAGACACTGGTTGCCATGGAATCGACTACGACTCATGGCGACCCCTGTGTGTCAAAGTGGAACTGTGCTCCATAGCGTTCTAAGTGGCTGATTTTTCAAAAGTAGATTGCCGGCCTTTGTTCCGAGGCAGTTCTGGGCGGACTGGAACTTACCACCTTTCTGTTAGCAGTGGAACAGGTTAACTGCCCTGGGGCCCTGAACCACTTACAGGTCAGAGATGTTCTCTCAGGTCTCAAGGCCAACCAGTTTTAGTTTTTGGACACAATAAAACCTATGAATATTAGTGTTTCCTTTTGGAGACTAGAAAGGTGCGAGCCACATTTGTAGCCCCCCTGAGGCAAGTGTAGAGGAATTCTTGGAAGGCATCTCGTGAACCAAATTTGCTTCTGGCTCCATTTTACTTTCCCATCCTTATTGTCTCATTATGAGGAAATAAGACATAAACACAGCGAGCTGTAGGGCATGGTGGCTTGTAACATTTGTCACGTTAGGGGCTCTTTAGAGGAGCCCTGATGGTGCAGTGGTTGAGCACTTGACTGCTAACCAAAAGGTCAGCATTTCAAACCCACCAGCCTACAGAAGAAAAATGTGGCAGTCTGCTTCCTTGAAGATTCTAGCCTTAGAAACCCTATGGGGCAGTTCTTCTTTGTCCTATAAGGTCACTGTGAATTGGAATTGACTCGACAGCAAGGGGTTTGGCTTTTTTAGTTTAGAGGCTCTTTATGACATTTGCTCCTATTTTATGATAATATGCATTTTGTTTTTCATAACAAACATTTATTGAAAATATTCTGTGTCAGACATGTTTATGGAAGTGTTCTATTCTTTACCCCATATTATTCTAATAACAACTTTGTAAGATAGGTACTATTGTTGTTCCCATTTATTGGCAAGGAAGTAGAGGCCCAGAGAGCTTAGTAACTTGCTCAACCAAGATCATCTGAGTAATGCCCAGCAGAGCTGGGCTTCGAATTGGGACATTGTGTGTCATGTGTCCAGAGCCTGTGGGATGAGGAAATCTCTGTGAGAAAAAAACCATGTACACAACTCACAGTTCTAGAGCCAGAAAGCACAATGGGGGAAAGAAAAAGTAGGAGCCCTGGAATGATACCATTTGTCTAGTACAGTATGGATGTGAGTTATCTGGTTGGGGCTAGTAGGCACTTTATGATACTGTATCACTTCATTCTCTGAATAACTCAACATCATAAGACATGCAGACACTACATTTTAAGCTATCAAGGCCAGGCTTTAACATTAGGAGGAAAACTTAGATGATTAGAAAGTTGAACTTTTGGTTATTTTGAAGGCCTCCATAAAATGATTAAATCGTTTACCAAAACCAGAACTGTAAACTTTAACTTCTCTGGGAGCAAAGTGTTTGCCTTGTCATTGTTTCTGTAAATAGATCTTGTTTCATATCCTGTAATTCATTTTCAGCATGCCATGAACAAACTCGAGCTGTGGCTGTGAGAACAATTAAGAGCCATGAGGGCAAGGGAGCATTGACACTCTGGTGGTTTTCCTTGAGTGTGTGATATTTATCACAAGTTCACAGATAATTCTCTTTCCTGATCTGGTGGGTGTGGTGGCTACCTTCTGGTGTGTTCTCAGAAATCTCTGTCGGTGCTTTATTTCCCCTCAAGAAGTTACGTTTTAAGAAAAGAGAAGTTTTCCAAGGTTAAACCCTGCCAACATTCTAGTTTCTCTATCTTTGTTGTTGTCCTTAGGTGCCCTCAAGTCCATTCCAACTCACAGTGACCCGGTGTACGAGAGACGAAAACACTGCCCAGTCCTGCACCGTTCTCACAAACTTTACTATCTTTTAAATTAACAGGAGAGTTTCCAACATGGGGTCCAAAAAGGGTGCAAATTCTGTCTTACCGTCCATCCAAAATTTATGGCTGATCTGAAGAATCATTTCCCTTCTAAAAGACTTCTTTGATGAGAGTATGCAGTGCGCGGTGAAAAAGACCCATTACAAATACAACCCCTGCTGAATGAAGGTCCTTTGATCTGATAATGTCAGGGTTAATGGGGGTGGGGTGGGGGTGGGGAATGAAGTTTGCAAATTAAGATCCTAAAGGATATATTGAATTGGCCAGGATTGAGGAAGCAAATTCCCAGACAGGGCGAGTGGGAGGAAAAAAGGTAATGTAAGTGCCCCATGGCCATTTACTTAGCTTGAAAAGAAAATGGAGAGTGGAAAGTACCAGAAATCTTGGAAGATTTTTTCCTAAAGATGACTCATTAGTAGATGCCTTGCCTTTTGTTGCATTGCCCTGGCCCAGTGTGCCTCACCTTCAAGGAATGAAAAGGATTTATTTTCCTTAATTCTTTAAGTACTTAGAGGTGTGCACACATTTTCAAGGGCATAGAAAGTATTTTATGTCTCATCTATAACTTCCCTAAATCTACACTCCTGTGCTTCAGACAGGATCTACACCTAAACAATGAGTAATTGGTATGACGTTTATACACTTATTTATATTATACACCAAGAAAGTTGTTGTTGCACAGCAGACCTGGGTATGTGGGACAAGGGAAGAATGACATCTACTTTAGAGGAGGGAAAGTTGGGTATGGTGGGCTTTGGAGTCTGGCCGACTTGTATTAAAACCCCAATAGAATGTTAATGCAGCCATATTTGAGTATAACCCAAATCAAGTAACGGATTTCTCCTTCCTTTTGAACCAGGAAATTTTCTTAGAAGATAATTTTAAAGGTTTTGTTTTCCTCTACCTTTCCTACATGGAGAATAAAGACTTAATATCAGTTTCTTCATGCTTCAATTTGAGGTTGAACAGCCTGGGTGGAAAACATTCTGGTGCTTAGAGAAGCATGGGTGGCCCTGATCAGAAATAGTCTGAGGAATAAGGGTGTGGACAATACTTTGGGGCTAGCTGGGGTCCTTTGGCCAAAAACAGGCAATACTTTAACTTACTCTTTTATAGATCCGCATTTTCAAGTTGAAACCAAAACTCAGTTGTTGTTCTGTGCCCTCGAGTCAATTCCGACTCATAATGACCCTCTAGGGCAGAGTAGACTTGCCCCATAGCGTTTCCAAGGAGCAGGTGGTAGATTTGAACTGCCAACTTTTTGGTTAGCAGCTGTAGCTCTTAGCTCAATGCTGTTGTTGTGCCAGAGGTAGGTGCACGTTTGAAGGGAGCCTAAAGTGAGGCTCCTTAGTGGGTCAGTCCTGAGCACGTCCAGGGTCAGCATCAGGCTGCCTGCATAGAATGGGCACAGGGGCTGCCATCTGGTTGAAATGGCGGTGAGAGGGTGGTGGGGGGCTGGGGGCTTGTTCTGAAGTTGGCTTTGTGTCTCAAGAGCAGTGTTTTCACTTAGATTTGTGTGCTCACTTGGGGCGGCTTGGGGAGGATTAATAGAGACCATTGGGGTGCAGGGGACCTAAAAACCCCAAACCACCCTTGGCACCGTTTATACTTTTATATGAAATTTATCAGATAATCTTCACAGCAATGCTGCAAGGCAGGAATTATTATCCCCATTTTACAGATACAGAAATTGAGGTTTTAAGCTAAGGTGACAGAGCCTAGTGATAGTAGGGATTTTTATCCTGGTCAGCCAACTCTTCCACCACTAAGGTAGACGTCATTCTTTCCTTGTCCCACATACCCAGGTCTGCTGTGCAAAAACCACATTCTTGGCCTTTATTTCCATGTACGGAAGGTTTTCCTCTTTGTTATCTTCTCTCTCTCCAGTTGCCATTGAGTCGACTCTGACAGAGAGCAGAACTGTGCTCCACGGGGTTTTCAATGGTTGTGATCTTTCAGAAGTAGATCACCAGGCCTTTCTTCTGAGGGCCTCTGGGTGGACTCGAACCTCCAATCTTAGTAGCTCCATTTTCCAAGAAGTGGTGCATCTGTGATGTCTGATGGCTTTGAAAGGCACAGAGTGAGTGCTTGGGTGCGATGTGGACAGAACCATTAAGAGTAACGGCGTATTTGTGGTTTTTCTGCAGGAGTTAGCTGTCCCGGTAGTCCACGATGGGGGCGCCCTTTTGGCTTTTGTCTGCGGTGTTGTGTACACGCTCCTGCAGTCCATCATCTCTTACAAATCGTGTCCCCAGTGGAACAGCCTCACGACGTGTCACGTACGCATGGCCATTTCTGCTGTTTCCTGCGCAGCCGTTGTCCCCAGTATCCTTTTCATATTTCTCAACGTCCTCGCAAATGACCCCTCCCCTCCCCCCTCCAAAAAAAAGCACGAAGAAAGCAAAGGTTAACAAGGAAGTTTCCACATGCTTCAGAAGAACAGTTGGGAGAAAAGTGTAAATCATTAAGAAAATACCTCAATGTTGTCCGGTTTGATCGAAAGAATGTTTTGGGGAGAGAATGACGGTGGAAGGAGGGTGGAAAAAGTGTAGGAACACTTCAGTCTCTGTTGACTTTCCTTCAAACAGAGTGGGTTTCATGAGCCATGTGAAAATACTTAGTTTTCTTTGTAGTGCTTGGCTAAAGACACCAAATATTGATATTGTACTTAAAGTAATAGCTCTGTGAAGTCCTGAAAGGCCAGTCTCTCCTCTCTCCTTGCACTTGGGTAATAGAGACAGTTTAATTTACGTATCCATACTAAGAGACTTTAATTTTATCACGAAGTCATTTAAGATACATTTAGCCTTGTCTTTGTATAATTAGGAGCCTGGGTGGTGCAAGCAGTTCGTGATTGGCTGCTAATCTAAAGCTTGGTGGTTCGAACCCATCCTGCAGCTTCTCAGAAGAAAGTCCTGGCAATCTGCTTCTGTAAAGATTGCAGCCAAGGAAGCCCTATGGAGCAGTTCTACTCTGTAACACATGGGGTCGCCATGAGTTGGAATCGACTGGATGGCATTGGGTTTTTTATAATCACTGATTTCATTTTACATTCTAATTCAGCAGCGTAAAAGAAGGGAAAAATTTATCATGCTTGTGTATTCTGATTGAGAGAAAATGAAAGTCCTTTTCTCTGTCTCTCTCAACAGATATTAAACAAAGAGTATTAAAAAAGCTGTGGTCTTTAAAGGGTGGAAAATTTCTCATCCTTCAAAATACCATCTGTGGTCATATCAGGAAAAGTTGCAAAGTTGTTTTTTAAAAAAAACTAATGGCTAGTGTTAGATTACAGAAAAATGGAAACTATTTTATCAGAGGCAATTTTGTTAGTCCAGAATGGGTTATGTTTTGAAATGGGCAAAACTGAGGGAAAGCACATCATGTGCTTCTGAATATTAAGCTTTTAAAATAGAAGCTACCCAAAGTGCAAAGTCTTAAGTATGGTTTTGGGGTATTTTTTCATCTTAGGGCAGGGAAATTTTAATGACACAATTTCCAAGCACAGAGGAACCAAATCCTAGTATTGAGAAATTTAACAACCAAGTATATACCCGCGTTTCAAGATAGTTCTTTCTCAGTTTCCTCCCCCTTCTATTTAGGACATAGTTTCTCTCCAAATATACCTCCTGAAAACTTTTAGCTTTTGTTAATGGTCAAATTTACAGTAGAAGTGTTAAAAGTAAAGTTTCTTGGTGTAGGAAACCTTTCCTTGCTTCCAACTTTGTAGCGAGATCTCTGGATATTAAAATCAGAGAGTTTTAGCAGAATAAGCATTTCAGACCTCTCAAAGAGTTTCACATTCTAATAGTTCCCGTTTCTAGCAGGGGTAGCATCCTCAAACAGAAACGAGTTGTGTGCTTGTATTGAATCGACTTGAATGAATTCGGTCCTGTGAAAAAGTCTTTTAAACAGAAGCATGGAATTTCTATTTCCTTACGAAGAATTTAAAGCATATGTTAAAATTCCCTTGTTTTTCCTTACTATGTATAATATTTTTGTCAAATGACCTCATTTTACTACTGAGGAAACTGAGTCACAAGAGCTGTTAGAATCATGCGTCTAAGCCCTCCTGCTAAACTCAGCGTCTGAGGCTTTCTGAAGCCTTCACAAAATCACTGACAGGTTCCCATGCATGAGACACGGAATCTGGGGCTGCCTAGTTCTTCAACTTCATTTGTACACATTCTCCCTGTCTTAGCTAGGGCTGTCCTAACAAAAATACCACTAATATAGGTGGTTTTAAAGAACAGGATTTTATTTTCTCACAGTTTTGGAGGCTAGAAGTCCGAATTCAGGGTGTCAGCTCTAGTGTGTCTAGAGCGACAGCGGGTACCCTGTTTAAAATGAAAGTAAAGAGACTTATTGAGAGCAAAGGCAGCCCGAGCCGGGGACATGTTGGATCTCACAAAGTGAAAACCAGCACTCTGAAAAGCTGCAGTCACACGGGATTAGTCACAGGGCTGAATTAGGAGCATAGTTTACAATATTCTGATTGGTAGGCAAGCAGTCAGTAAAGTGGAAGGCGGGATATCTTGAAGGTGGGTCTGATGTAGGGGCTATCTGATTCATAAACGCTTTGGGTAAGGTAGGAAGGACTCCACTTACCCAACAAAAGCCTGTGTTTCAGAGATAATCCTTTGCACTCTGGTGGCTTGTTTTTGTATGGTGACCCATGTGTGTTAGTAGAACTGTTGTCTATAGGGCTTTCAGTGCTTGTTTTTTTAGAAGTAGATCACCAGGCCTTTCTTCTGAGGTGCCTCTGGGTGGACTCAAGCCTCCAACCTTGGGATTGGGATTGGGTAACAGTATGTGTGGGTTAAGGGGATTGGGTACACTGACATAATTGCGGAAGTATGTGTTCACAAGGGGGTCACAAGATGATTGATAGGGGGCCGGGATCTGCTGGTTCCACCCAGCCAGAGGCCCAGGGCCGTACACATATGAAGAAGTCAAGGTTACATTCTCAGGAATGCAGAAGTCACAAAATGGGGTCGGGCCTACAACTGAACCAGCCACTCTAGGCATGCCAGGCACCTCAGTTTTGGAATCCTTGCATAAGGAGACATTCCTTCTGTCTCTTTCAGCTTTTAGCAGCTGACACCAGTCCTCGTTGTTCCTGAGTTTATAGATTCGTCTGTCTCCGTCTTCATGTGGCATCTCCCCCTGTGTGTGTTTTTCTGTATTTGTACTCCCCTTTATAAAACACCACTCAGAAAGGATGAGGTTTAGAACCCACCCTGTTCCTCTATGACCTCATTAATATAACAAAAGAAAACCCCTATTTTCAAACAGTCACATTCCCAGGTGCAGGGGGGGAGGCTTAAACATATACTTTTGCAGGACACAGTTCATCTATAACAGTCCCCTAGGCCTGGCTGTTTCCTGTGTTTATACTCTTCCTCCCTCTTGATAGTCATTCTCCACCTTCTCTTTTTAGAGCTGAGCTGTCAGTCCAATATGATAGCCAAGGAACCCTGGTGGTGCAATGGTTAAGCACTTGGCTGCTAACCGAGAGGGCAGCGGTTCAAACCCACCAGCCGCTCCACGGGAGTAAAGACCTGATGATCTGCGCCCGTAAAGATTATAGCCTAGGAAACCCTATGGGGCAGTTCTACTCTGTCCGGTAGGGTTGCTATGAAGTCGGAATCGACTCGATGGCACACGACAGTGGTGCAAATGGTTAAGTGCTTGACTGGTAGTCAAAAGGTGGGTAGTTTAACCCACCCAGAGGTGCCTTGGCAGACAGGACTGACCATCTGCCTCCGAAAGGTCACAGCCATGAAAACCCTATGGAGCAGTTCTACTCTGCACACATAGGGTCGCCATGAGTCAGAATCGACTCCGTGGCAACTACAGCAGCAGCCACATGTGGTTATTGTCCACTTAAAACATGCTCAGTCCAAATTGAGATGTGCTGTAAATGTAAAATGCACGACGTATTTCAAAGACTTGATAATAAAAAAAGGAATGTAAAATATGTCAATAATTTTTTATATTATTTTGAAATAATAATAAATTTAACATTGGGTTAAATAAAATATATTATTAAAATTAATTTCACTCGGTTCTTTTTAAATATGTGGCTGCTAGAAAATTTTAAATTACACATGTGGCTTGCATGATAATTCTGTGGGATGGCGCAGTTCTCAAGAGGTCCTCAAACTCCCATTCACAGCCTTCCCGGACACCCCTACCCATTCTGAATTTATGATTCTCCCCCTGGGCCATCACTCCACCCTTTTCTTCTCTAACACCCCATGGCCCCCGGCTTTCTTCAGAAGAGGCTTTGATCTTCTGAGAGCTTAGACCAAGTCTGATTCCTTGGGTTCTCTCTGCCCTGCCTCCACTCCAGCATGGTACCTGACACGCTAGATGGAACTAAAGAACAAATAAATGAAAGAATTAGAAGACTTTTAAACTATTAGAAATAAAAGTAGGGTAATGAAATGACCTTAGCATCTTCTCTGCTTTCTACTTCTCTTTAGTTTGAGGAACCCAGAAGTGTTTAACATTGCAAAATGCATGGAGGAGGGGGAGGTGGGAGAGGAGGTGTTGGCTCAGCATTTTTGAGGAAGCTATAGACTCCAGACTTCATAGTCTTCTTTTTTTGTAAAGCCTTTTGTAACATCCCTTTTGTCTCTAGCTTTCTCTTTTGCTTCCCAAGTTCAGTCAAAATGGTGGTCACTGCCCTTGTGCAGACAGTATTGCCCACGGAGTGATGTAGCCTCAGTTCCTGGAATTATTAGGTGGGCTTGGACTGAGGTTTGACATTCATCCCCAAGGTCTGATGCAGGGGGTATCTGATTCATAAACCCTTTGGGTAGGGTAGGAAGGACTCCACTTACCCAACGAAAGCCTGTATTTCAGAGATAATCCTTTGTGGTTGTTTTTGTATGGTGACCCATGTGTGTCAGAGTAGAACTGTTGTCTGTAGGGCTTCCAACGGCCTGTTTTTTCAGAAGTAGATCACCAGACCTTTCTTCTGAGGTGCCTCTGGGTGGACTCGAACCTCCAACATTTTAGTTAATAGCGTGTTAACTGTTTGCACCACATGGGGTCATCATGAGTTGGAATTGACTCAGTGGCAACTGGGATTTTTTGGTTTTGTGTATGAGATTTGGTACTTTGTAATGCTAAATTTTCTTTAAAGCTGTTACCTTAGAAATAGTATTTTAGGGAAAAAGTAATTCATTCAGAAGCAAGCAAAAAGAATACCTCTTGGGCTTCTGTGTCACCCATTTTGACCAAATTTAAACAGCTAGCTGAACTGAGAGCACCCAGAAAGATGCACCAAAAAAAAAACCAAACCAAACCCACAGCCTTGCAGTCGATTCTGACTCATAGAAAGATGCATAGTAGAGCAAAATGTCAACTCAGGATAAAATTTTGCTATACCTAATTAAAAAAGAGGATTGCTAAGGAATGACTGTATTTCTGTGTTGTGATTTCACTGCCGTCGTAAGTGAATTTAAGATTGGAGCTTATAAGAAGCTAATATAGCTGGCTTGACTGCAGAAATGCCAATATTAACATACTTAAACACGGTGTAATGATTATTTTATTAGGAGAATAACCTGATCTCAACATTAAAGGACCTATTTTCTTCAGTATTTTCCTTAAGTTTTTTTTTTTTTCCTTTAAGTGATTGCCTGTGCGTCACTAATTTCTATAACCAAACTGGAGTGGAATCCAAAAGAAAAGGTAAAATTTAAGTCACTTTCAATATGATCTGGTTATTTGAGATTGTGGCTGGGTGAAGGCTAGAAAAGGGCACTGCAATTTCTTAGGGCAAATTGCAAAATATGGAGTAAATATGTTATATAATCAACTTCTTGTTTGCTGCCATCAAGTTGACCCCTGACTCATGGTGAACCTATGGACAATGGAACAAAATGCTACTCAGTCCTGTGCCATCCCCATCAATTGCAGATCAGACCATTGTGATCCGTATAGTTTTTAATTGGCAGATTTTCAGAAGTAGATTGCCATGCCTTTCTACCTAGTCCCTCTTAGTCTGGAAGCTCCACTTAAACCTGTTCAGCAGCATAACAACACATAATCTACCACTGACAGATGGGTGGTGGCTGTGCATGAGGTGCATTGGATGGAATCGAACCTGGGTCTCCTGTGTTCTGCCACTGAACCACCACTGTCTTGTACATGGTGGAAACATTTCATGTGCTTGGCTGCTAACTGAAAGGTTGGAGGTTCGAGTCAACCCAGAGGCACCTTGGAAGAAAGGCCTGATGATTTTATTTCCAAAAAATCAGCCATTGAAAGCCCTACAGAGCACAGTCCTACTCTGACACACATTGGGTCACCGTGAGTTGACGTTGACTTGACGGTAACTGGTTATAATCAACTTACTGTCCAATTATTTGGCATTGTGTATGTAGTAATTGGAGTCTGGGGATGGCGTTAATGCTTAAGCACCTGACTACCAGCTGGATGGTTCGAAACCACCCAGAGGCACCTTGGAAGAGAAGGCCTGGTGATCTGCTTCTGAAAGTCACAGCCATGAAAACCCTATGGAGCAGTTCTGCTCTGCACACATGCAGTCGCCATGAGTTGGAATTGACTTGATGGTAAGACCACTACCACCAACAGTATGTAGTAATTAGCTTTCAGGGTAATTATGGTTCTGGGGATTATTATTTCAAATTTTTGAATTGCTAATTCTCTCTTTGACATTTCAGCCTGCTATGCTTGGTAAAGAGGTTGAACATTTAAGGGTAGGAAAACAATGTGAATGAAGGTGTATGGAGGCTGTCAAAAAAAGGCATAGGGGCGGAGTCATACCTTCTCTTGTAGTGGGGGATCTCCGGGTTCTGCTTGGTGTAACTCCATCGGGGCCAAAAAGACAGAGACTGAGTTGGGGAGAACGAAAGGCAACTTTATTGACTGGCCAAGCAAGGAGGTGTGCCTGACTCAATCCATAGTGTTTTCAGTCGCCTCACACGCATGTGAAAGCTGAACATTGAGTAAGGAAGACCAAAGAAGAATTGACGCCTTCAAATTGTGGTGTTGGCGAAGAATATTGAATATACTGTGGACTGCCAGAAGAATGAACAAATCTATCTTGGAAGAAGTACAACCAGAATGTTCCTTAGAAGCAAGTATGGCAAGAGTACGTCTCACATATTTTGGACGTGTTATCAGAAGGGATCAGTCCCTGGAGAAGGACATCATGCTGGGTAAAGTAGAGGGGCAGCAAAAAGAGGAGGACCCTGGACAAGTTGGATTGACACAGTGGCTGCAACAATGGGCTCAAGCATAAGAACGATTGTGAGGATGGCACAGGACGGGCAGTGTTTCATTCCGTTGTACATGGGGTTGCTATGAGTCAGAACAGACTTGATGGCACCTACCAACAACAACAAGAAGCAAGGAGACAGATGAAGCTGCGTGCCGTCCAAGATTGCCTTGCAGGCAGCTTGTTGAGGCTGGTTTAGATAGGCAGGATCAATTTCAGAATACAAACTGGTGTGCGCACAAGGGCGTTTTAGAATGAGTAAGCATTTCTAAGACCCATGTTCAATTCTCCGCGCAGGAGAAACTTAGTCATTTTTGTTCATTAGCATGTCAGCTCTCTGCCAAGGGTTGGAGAATTTACCATGCCTGAAGCAGTTAATGAGCTAAAGGTCATCTGGAGTGCCAGAAAGAAGGGAAGGACCTGTTTCAGCCAATTCTGGCTAGCCAGTGGCTGTTTCTCTTTAAGGAGGTTCTGAGGAGGGAAGGAAAGAACTCTAGGAAATGGGCTGGCTGAGGGGCTGTCTTGAGGCTAAGAAAAATGGCTGTATGGCTCTAGCCATGTCATACTCCTTCTTCACAAGGGGAAGAGGAATCAAGGTCAAGAGCCCAGGGCTGATTCCTATGAGGCAGAGGTCAGACATGCTTCCTCTCTCCACCATCTTGACCAATTCAGACACCAACCGTCCCTCCCATGGCACTCTTTTATTCTCTGCTGAGTTCAATAATTCATTGCAATGTCCACACAGAACTCACAGACCGTACTCAACGATTATAAGGTTTATTAGGGAAGTAACAGTTTACAATTCAGGCACAGGACAGCCTCTTTTCAGCTGTGCTCGAAGGCACACCTCTCTCTGGCCCTAGGCCTCTGCCCTGCTCAGGTAACTGTTACAAAGCTCTTTTAGCTCCTGCCAGTAAGTCCCCAGAGGCACCCCAGGCATTCAGCTCTCTCACTTTGTGGGCCGGGAAGTCCACTGCATGGTCTTCTACTGGTCTTTCCTGCCACTGCTTCTCAAGAACTCTGTCTGCCTCCAGAAGCTTCTCAACGCAGAGATCCCAGTCCAGAGGACATGCTCTCTGCTCCTGGCCATTCTTCCTTGATGGTGGTGGGATCTTCTCTCTTTCTCGCCTCCTGGGTGGCTCATTTCAAGCCCAGCGGCATGGCAAAACTGACCAATCCCCTTGGTGGGCCACAATTACCCTATCTGCACAGTCCCACCCAGTCACCTGGGTGGGAGTTACAAGACCATGGAAAGAAAGGGCACACAAAAATGATCCATCGCACCACAGAGGCCAAAGGAAGTGTGGCGTGATAAGGAGAGGGGACAAAATCAGCTCGAGTACAATGGATGGTTCATTTTAGGATGGAGTGAGAAATAAACGTGGTCAGGGATAAACTTATGAAGGAGTAGTTTCTGCAAGGCTTTAACAGGCAGGCAGAGAGGTCTCCTACCTGATCGAGATGACGAGAGTGAGCTTTGAAGGCTTTGGAACAGGAAAGTGGAATGTGTACTGGAGGAGTAGTAGTCATGGCAATGTTACCACAATAACGCGATTAGAGCCGCCTGCCGCAATAGCCAATTCTGAGACGGGGATGAGGTGAGCAGCAAGATGTTTATCATATATTGATATACAGGAGACGGCGGGGAATAGATTCCTCCAAAAAACCCGTCTCTCCCACTGGAGATCGGCTGAAGGCTTTTATAGGGACAGGATTATGGATCCTAGAAGTTTGTGTTGGTTTCCCCTTGAGGTGGTGATGTCTTAGATGAGTTAACCTTCTACTGGTATTCTTAGAGGTTATCTGGTGACATCCTTGGGGATTATCTGGCGACATCCTGCTTTTTCTTACCACAAGATGGGTGCTTTGTTTGGTTTTTCATTCTTAGATCATTATCACTTGTTTTCCACCCTCCAAGGAGGAACATCGGTTCATCTTAAAACTTTTGTAGAGACTGGAACCTGAGGGAAAAACAAAATCACGAGACAAGGTGGGGGTTAGCAATGGGGAGTCAATAATAGTGAGCCGGGCTTGTGCAGCCTCTTCCAGCAACTCTTGGGATGGATTGAAGACGAAGGAGCCAGGTGTTAGGGCGAGGAGAAGGCTGTTTTAGTAATTCAGATTTCAAATAAATATTTGCCTAGGTTGGAAGTAATAGGGGGAAAATTTTGGGTGGGTGCTGGCAAGTGACTCACTTGAGAATGAAGGAGTGTGATGAATCCAAGAGGACTCTCAAATTCTTGTTTTGGGAGAACCAAAGCGTGAGTTGTTAGGAACAGAGAGATAAGGCCCCTACCCTACCAGGGGTAGCTGATTTCATAGGGGGAAGTGGATGAGTCTGGTATTAGAAGCATTGCTTCTGAGGCTGTAGTGAGGCATCAAGGAGGAATGTCCAGCTAGGAACGTAGGACCAGATCCCTGGTGAGGTTGAGGACCCTCAGAGGATAGGGTAGAACGACTCGTGTTTACTAGACCTAACATCAGAACACAGGGGACCGAATGTTTGGAATTGAGATTGACTCATACAATTAGGTATCTATAGTGGTAGTTCATTGAATGCCATACAGGGGTATGAATGGTGCCCCAGGAGAGGACAGAGTTAGCGGGAGAACGGCAGGAGATATGTTTTCATGGGGGCAGGTGGAGGAACGCCTCTAGCAAAGGCGAAATAAAGGGGAAAAGTCACTGAACAAAGAGAAGAACCAGAGGTGGATGGTGTAGTGGACCTCATTGACTGAGTCCCTACCTTGAGCAAGACTCTGCTGGGGGCTGGTGGGTGGGAAGGGCAGCCATGGCATGTAGGGTCCTTGCCCTCAGGAGGCTTAGAGTTCAGTGGGACAGATAGCCGGTTGTTGACTGCTAAATGTAATACTATGAAGAATAAAAGAAATTCTGTAGTGAAGTAGCAACATCATACTGTGGAAATGCAGAAGCAATAGCAATTCATTCCTACTAAGGAATGAGAGAAGATATTGATTATTCCAGAGGCTAAGGGGAGAGCATTTTTAAGGGAAAAGGAAACGATTAACTATGGCACATGTAGCTGAACAGTCTTTAAGAATGAGGTCTCAGAATTTGGCAATAATGGAGTCACTGATGGTTTTCAAAAAGCAGTTTCAGTAGAATGTTGGGGTTAGAAACCTATTGCAGGAGGTTAAAGAAAATGGTGGGAGGAAATGGTTCATTCAGCAATCAATCAAATGTTCGCTGAGTTCTATTCTGGATTGGAGGTGAGAGGAAAAGGAGAAATAAGATGGTGGCTAGAGGGGACAATGGGACCAGAGGAAGGATTTTTTCCCAGATTGAGGGTTCCAGGAGGCGATGGAAACCAGCAGAGAACAAGAGGCTGAAGATGATGGTGAGAATGATCCAGACAGGAGTTTAAAAAAGTGCTTCCATTGATTGTAACTTTAAAATGGTCAAATCATCCAATAGGTTAGAATGAGATCAAAGATAAGCTCTCTAAGGTGTAGGGAATTAGCCTGGTTTGAAGGGTGTTCAGTTCCTCCTTCCTTTAAGTGAAATCTCACAGGAGAGCAGCCCCAGGTGTATTTCACTGTATAGACACTAGGGGGAGACCTTCCACCACAAATCAGATGCCCGGAAGCGCACTTGAGAGTATCCAGGCAGTTAAAAATTCTTTTCACTCCATTTTCTATCTTAAAAGTGTGTGAAGTACCTGGTTTTCTATTCATTCCATAACTCACCGTGCCACTCTTGTACTGTCTTTTGTTCCAAATATCAACGAATGCAAAGAAAACCTTTTACATTAATTCGCTGAATAAAACAATCATTAAGGAGTCCCTGGGTAACGCAGATGATTAAGCGCTTGACTGCTAGCTGAAAGGTTGGCAGTTCAAACCCACTCAGAGGCGCCATGAAAGACAGGCCTGGCGATCAGCATCTGAAGGGTCACAGCCTTGAAAAACATATGGAGCACAGTTCTATTCTGCACACGTGGGATCGCCGTGAGTTGGAATTGACTCGACATTGACTGGACAGCAAACAAGGACCACCACCACCACCACCAGTGTTTTAGAACTTTCACAGCACATTCTCTGTATTGGCTTACTTGGTAGGGAGGGCGAGAAGTATCATGCCATCGTCTCATTTTATGTAGCAACATTAGAGCTTTACCCCCATTCACGTGCGTGCAGTGGAGGGGTTAGGACCAAAAGAAAAGTCTTCGACTCCTGCTAGTTCAGTGTTCTTTCATTAATATGTTAAAGAAATGCTCCCAAAATTTCTGTCTCTATTTTTATAAGCTCTACACTGTCCAGGGATGATATGGGATTGATCCCCGGGTGCTGTCACCATCATGAGGAGACCTCTCTGGCCGGTGTCTCCTCATTGTGACCTGGGAGGAGAACTGTGGATGGGTGAGCACATCCATGAGCAGTGAGGAGGACGTCCATGAGATTTAGATGTGGCTCAATGAATCTTTGGATGAAAACGGATCAACTAAAACCACTGTCACCATAGAACTGACCCGCAGTCCAGCACATTTGTTTCCTCGCATTAATAATCTATAACAAAACAAAGTGTAGTAGGGAAAAGAAAGTAAGTCCTTATTTGAAATCGGAGGTGGCCAACTGGCAGGCCACAGGCCTCATTCAGCATATGGGTTAAAGTCAGATTGTGGACCAGCGTTTTTAGTTGATACAGTGTTTAAAATGTTTTTAAATTAGTTTCCAGCATTTTTAAAAAAGGAGATCACACACACACACACACACACACACACACACACACACACACAGAGGCATGCATGTGGGCTTTTTTATTTCTGTTGAAGCCACAAGGGGCCACTTTTCTGTTTGGTGAAAATGGAAGTGAGCTGGTGAGGCATGGCCTCCCCATCCTCCCTTTCTTCAAAACCAGCAGTTTTTAAAATTTTTATTCATGGTCTGGCCTCACTACACAGCTGAGTTTGGAACCCCTGATTAAAGCCATTTTCATCTTCCCATCTCCGAGAAGATACAGACTCAGTTAACGTGTAGATATGTCGTGGTTAATGTTAAACAGCAGTATTTTCTAAGCTGATATTTTCTATAGTAATGGGGAAACCCCAAAATGAATGGTGATAGCCAGTTTCATCTAGATGCGTTCACTTCTTCTTTGGAGTAACAGCACAAGTGCTAATTTGTTGCTTTTTAAGCATTTCCTTCAACTTTGAGGTTCCAGCAGTCTTACAGCAAGTTGTGCCTCGCATGGAAAGTTGCCTCTTCTGTTGAATCCAAGTTTGCTTCTCTGTCTCCGTTATTTTGTGGTCCTTATTCTGCTTTTTGAAGTTAGACTTAAAACCTGAGTGGGTTAGAGCCAGAAAGAATATTCTAAATAATTGCATTCAACGTCTAAACTGTGCAGTGCTCTGAACATTTACCTATGTTGCTTTGCCGAATGCGTTTCCTCAGGTGTCACTTTATACTTGGTGGGCAGCTTCTCCTCTGGTCTGACCTTCTCACTATTAGTTCAGTATGCATACTAATTTCAGTTGTTTCTGTATCATTGCTTTTAGGATTATGTGTATCATGTGGTAAGTGCGATCTGTGAATGGACGGTGGCCTTTGGTTTTATTTTCTACTTCCTAACCTTCATCCAAGATTTCCAGGTAGGTATTTATCAATTCAGATGTTATAAACTGTTGTCAATTAGGATTAGTAAAAATTTCTTGCATTTAAAAAGAAGACCACTATCTTCTTTTTCTAAAAAATAGACTTTTTTTTTAGAGCAGTTTTAGGTTTACAAAAAAATTGTACAGCAATATAGAGTTCCCATATGTTATCCACCCCACCTTCCCCCCCCTCCACAGTTTCTCCTGTTGTTAACATCTTGCATTTCTGGGGTAACTTCGTTACAATTGATGAACCAATATTAATATATTATTAATAAATAAAGTAAAGTAGAGGGTCTGCAAAAAAGAGGAAGACCCTCAGCGAGATGGATTGACACAGTGGCTGCAACAATGGGCTCAAGCACAACAACAATTGTGAGGATGTTGCAGGACCAGGCGGTGTTTCATTCTGTTGTATATAGGGTCACTATGAGTCGGAACCAACTTGACAGCACCCAACAACGATAACAACAAAGCCCATAGTTTATATTAGGGCTTGCTCTTCGTGTTGTATAGTCCTGTGGATTTTAACGATACATATGTCTTGTGTACACCATTACTGTGTCATATAGAATAGTTTCATTGCCCTCAAATGCTGTGTGCTCCACCTTCTTTCTTTTTTCTCATGTTTTTGAGATAAGTATAAGTGTTATGCAACTTAGTTTATTCTTGAAGGGAAGCATCTCTAACAGCTCTCTAAATCAATGAAATTTTCATGTTTTTTGTGATGTTTATAGTCATATATCCTGGTCATTTTCTTTTTGAGAAGGTCATGCTTACTAGATCCAAATACTATAACATGGTGTCTTTTTAAAAAAATAGTGTATTGTTGGAAAAAATGTTCTCAAGGCAGAGAGAAGATGGGACCTAATCAGATCTGGAAACGGAAAATCTTGTATTTTGGAACAAATGAATTATTAGCTAAAGGATATAGAAAGCCAAGAAAATTCTTTAGGACCCAACTCAAGCATAGCACAAACCATTCATAGTGAGGTGGTCTCTCTCCTTTTTTTTTTTTTTTTTTTAAATATTTTATTTTTTTGTTGTTGAGAATATACACAGCCAAAACTACACCAATTCATGTTTCTACGTGTACAGTTTGGTGACATTGATTACATTGTTCAAGTTGTGCAACCACTCTCACCCTCCTTTTCTGAGTTGTTCTTCCCCCATTAACATAAACTCACCACCCCCTATGTTTCTTATCTAATCTTTCGAGTTGCTGTTGTCAATCTGTTCCATATAGATAGATCTTAAAAGAGCAGTGTTCAAGGCAGACATTCTTTACTAGTTATGCTAAACTATTGTCTGGTGTTAAGAAGACTTCAGGGGATATTTTTGGTTTAAAGTTTAAAGATTATCTCAGGGCAGTAGTTTCAGGAGTGTGAGATGGTCTCTTGGGTACAAAGTTGTTGGGGAAGTTTCAGAGCTGGCACCGAAATTGTTTACCTTCTTTGGAACTTTTTTTTTTTTTAAAGAGTGCCACCCTAAGGATATCCACAGAAATCAATGATGACATTTGAAGAAAGAATTATATCTCAGTCAATCAATGTCAGAGACAGTTTCCAAAAGTGGTATAGAGGACAGGCAGGGTTTTGACGGTGACCTGATTCCAATGCATCTGCAGCACACCCAGGACTTGAAACTCATTACAAAAGCATTCCCAATAGTTATACTATTTCCAAAGGTATGTTTTCCTAGAGAATGTAGATAATGAATAACATTGTAGCAATGTTTTATAATTTTCTAAATAGATGCTTTTTTTATATTAACAAATTCATACTGAAAAGATAAAGTGTTATCGAAAATGAAGAGCTTTTATTTTTGTACAGATTTGGTTTTATTTTGTGTGCTTTATGGAAATATACTAAGCGAGGAGTTTTAAGTTTAGCACATTTATTTAAACATAAAATTGGGGAGGGGGTATTCATTTGTAAATTTTATTTTTGGAGAATGAACTGTATAATTTTATATCATGAGAGCATTTATATAAAGTTAAATATATAATGATCATATACCCAAATCATGAAGATTTAGCTAATAAATAGACACTAATTAAGGTACTCTGATTTTTAGATGAACTAAGCAAAATGCTCCTATTGAGAAGCCTTAATACCTCTGTGCATATCAACATTAAGTGAACACCCAAGGCCTCGATTTTGAAACCTCTCTCCCTACGCCTCCCTGCTCACAGGGCCATGGCTTTGACCCTTGCTACTAATTACCAGTCCACAGTGGGAGTAATTCCAGTGGGATGGAGTCAGCAAAAGGCAGATTAGAAATAAAAAGCCTTGGAACAACAGAGTAAAATGGAAGCAAGCGACCGGATAACAGGAAAATCTCCTGGATTTCAGATTCGTGTCTTTGCTAGGTGGGCAACAGGGGAAGAGCAGCCAGCCTGTCTCAGGTTTGTGGCAGGCAGGGCCGTGGAAAGGAGACTTTTGCTTATTAATACTAAAGTTCTGCAAAAGCCCAACCTGTGAAAAGCATTTCTAAAACCAGCCTTTATTGTTACTGGCATAACTCAGATGCTGAAGCTCAGGTCTTGATTTCGTTTTATGCTAGTGAATGTGTCGAAGAGAACATAGGGCCAAGAGATTCAAGGAGAAGGGAGAGAGGGCAGAGGAAACTTCTGAATTCAGGGTGCTCTTTATTTGCTCCTCTTTTTAATGCCTGTAGCCAAGTGGACCGCACACTAAGGAGTGCGAGTCAGGCTCTTTGCTTTAAGCAGGACCTACAGTCTCCACATTTTCACTCAAATGATGAGGGACACATGAAAAGCAAGTCACTCTGGAAGAAGAAGTGATAACTTGAAATAAAAGGCTTGAAGGTTTGGGTTTGAATATTAAAGAGAAGGAATTCTCCTTTAAGGACTCCCAGACCACAAACCTCTGTCTGGCCTCATGGGACCGAACCTTGAGGGCTTGTACCAAGGGCAGAGCAGCCCATTTGGACAGCCTTGGAGGGAAGCTAAGGATGCGACTGGTAGCTCCTTAGTAATTATTTGAATGAGTGAAAGGGCGAGACTCAGCCACAATCAGCTTCCACTGCAGTGACAAATCGTGTCTCCTAAGTGTTCAACAATGGAAACCTGATAACCATTTTTGGGTCCATTGTAACTTGCAGTAATGCTGTGGGTCCCTATTGTGACACTGGAATTGAAGACCAGCAATATAGGCTGTGTCAAATGTTCATTACTTGAAAAGGAGGAGGAGGAACTCCACATACCATTTCTGTGGAACCTGTGATAGAATGAATTCCTGGTTGTGTTTTACTTTGCACAGACTTTTGTTACCAGCACTTTTAACAATGCATTGTCATTCTTCATTTCCGTATCTGTCTGCACAATCAGATTGAGAGCTCCTTGAGGGCAGAGGATATGCCTTAATCTTTATCTTTGTAACCCTGGCGGGGACTAGGTGCTTCATAAATACTCACTGATTGTATGAATAAAGGAATGACTCTGTGGGCATTTGTAGTGTTGCATAATGGGATTCCCTGTGGTTTACTATTGAGTTTACTGATAAACAAATGTCTGTATCACCAAGAAATGTTGACTGTTTTGCTTTGTATACTGTAAATGTTTCAGTTGTTTGGGCTTCACCATTCTATGACAGCTCATCAACCTGGACAGTTACCACAGAAACTGTTACAAAACTGCTAGACAAAATGGTACACCTGGCGTGGCAAACGGAGAAGGCCCAAAATCACTCCAGAAAACCACATTCTGCCGATACCATGCGGCCTCTAAAGCTGGCCTTATCCACGTTTTGGTAGCATTTCTAGTTTCCATGAAGTTCCATTTCCTTGGGCCTCATGGCTGAAAAAGTTAAATAAAATGTTTCTTTATTTTAGTAATTTGTGTCTCTGTTTTATTACAAAATGCACTGGGTGCTGTTATGAAGGGTATTTATCTGGGAGATGATCACAGCTTTCTGTGGACTTTATAAAGGTACAGTTTAAATGTTGTCTTTCCTTATTTCATGTAGCTTTGCATGTAGGCACAATTGGTTTATCTTTGAGAGATTTCTAAGCATTAGTATCAGAAATCTGCATCAGACTGTAATAGTTGAAGGCATCAGGAATCCAGCTCAGAGTTACAGACGGAAAAAAGCGCATCTGTTGACTGGATAACTGAGAAGCCCAGGGTAGAGTTGGCTTTAGGGTGGCTGGATCTAAAAGTACCACCAGGACCCACTTACTCTCTCCTTCCCTCAGCTCTGCTTTCCTCTCTGTTAGCATCACTCTTAGGCAGGCGTTCCCTTGGTGGGAGTATGATGGCTTCTAGAAGCGCCAGGCTGCAAGCCTATTCAGTGGAAAGAGAGGACTTCTTAAAATTGCAGCAACAGTCCCAGAATTAAAACTCATTGTCTTCAGTTGGCTGGCTTGGTTCATGTGTTGTATTAATTTCCTAGTGCTGCCGTAACAGTAGCACAAAGTGAGTAGCTTGTAAGAATGCAAATTCGTTGTCTCACAGTTCTGGAGGCCAGGAGGCCAATGTTAGGGTGTCAGTTGTGCTCATTCCTTCTGAGGCGTTGAAGGAGAATCTGTTCCATGTTTCTCCCTAGCTTATGGTAGCCCTGGGTATTCTTTGGCTTGCAGCTCTAATCTCTGCCTCCATAAGCACATGGTTGTCTCGCTTCTGTCTTCTCTTTTTTTTAATCAATTGTTTTCTTTATTTATAGCAAGTAGTGAGTATAAAAATTACTTTATACTTAGAGAGTCAACAGAGAAGCATGTAACTAAAGTGTCAAAATGTGCATACCAAAAATTGGTTCCAGGGATCATCCTCGTTGTATTTTTATTTTATTTATTTTGTTGTTGTTGAGAATATACATAGCAAAACATACACCAGTCCTACAGTTTCTACATGTACAATTCAGTGACATTGATTGTATTCTTTGAGTTGTGCAACCATCTAACCCTTCTTCTCTGAGTTGTTCCTCCCCCATCTTCTCCTTTATAAGGACACCACTCATATTGGATTGGTTATGCAAAAGGTTAATGCGCTCAGCTGCTATTCGGAAGGTTGGAGGTTCGAGTCTCCCCAGAGGTACCTCAGAAGAAAGGCCTGGAAATCTACTGCTGAAAAATCAGCCACTGGAAACCCCTATAGCCAACTCTACCCTATAGCACACAGTTCTGCTCTGACACACATGAGTCAGAATTGCCTGGACAGCAACTGGTCATACTGGAGAAGGACCCATCCTACCCCAGTATGTCCTCATGTTAACTGACAAGATCTCCAAATCCCTATTTCCAGACAAGGCCACCTTCACAGGTACCAGATGTTAGGACTTCAACATATCTCTTGGGGGACACAATTCAATCCATAACACATGCCCATCCCTGAATCAATCACCGTCTTGCAGGGAGGTGTGGTGCTCTGATTAGTGAGATCTGAGTCACATGTCACCCATGGAGCAGAGAGAGGGACAGCACCACCTGTCTTAGTCATCCAGTGCTGCTATAACAGAAATACCCCAAGTGGATGGCTTTAACAAAGAGAAATTTATTTTCTCACAGTCTAGTAGACTAGAAGTCTAAACTCAGGGCATCAGCTCCAGGGGAAGGCTCTCTTTCTCTGTTGGCTCTGGAGGACGGCCCTTCTCATCAGTCTTCCCTTGGTCTGGGAGCTTCTCCACGTGGGGACCCCGGGTCCGAAGGATGCACTCTGCTTCCGGCACTGCTTTCTTGGTGGTATGAGGTCCCCCATTCTCTGCTTGCTTCCCTTTCCTTTTATCTCTTGTAAGATAAAAGGTGGTGCAGGCCACACCTCAGGGAAACTCCTTTTACACTGGATCACAGATGTGACCTTAGTAAGGGTGTTATACAATCCCACCCTAATCGTCTTTAATATAAAATTACAACCACAAAATGGAGGACAACTGCACAATTCTGGGAATCATGGCTCAGCCAAATTGATACACACATTTTTGGGGGGACATAATTCAATCTGTTACACCACCCAAACTACAGGCTGATGGTAAGTGAAAGTTGTTTTTCAGAAGAAGAGTGGGAAGTGGCTCCTGGATGACACAAAGCAGCCGCTTCCACTATCGCGTGAAAGCCCCCCCCACACACAAAAAAAAAGCCAACCTAACTTGTTTCAGAGTAAACCAAATTATACTTGCTGAACTTTTTCAGAGAGGAAAAAAAAAGTGAAGGTAAGGTAATGAAAATGTTAACTTCAAAGTTATTCTGATCCTTTTTCAAGGCTTTTGTGTTCTTATTTAACCTCTGTGAGGTTGTCAAGCAGAGTTGTCTTTTTCAGATGAGGGAACTAAGACAAAGAGAGGCTCAGTGACCTGCAAGAGATCCTACAGCCAGATGGCAATGAATTCCAGTCTGAGACTCTTGTTTTCCTGATTCCTAGTCCAGTGGGTCTTGCTTTTTTTTTTTTTTTTTTTAAAACACTAACAGAGGATTCCGTAGAAATTGCATTTCACAAACCAAATTAAGTACATCAGTGTTGTGCTGTTTGGTTTTCCAACATCCTTACATGTGGCCTTGTCCCATGTTCCCATTTTTTACTCACTTGGAGACATCGTGGTCTGGTGTTCGGGGCTGGAATGAGGAAGGGGGAGTGGGAGGGAGATAAGTGGTATCCCATTCTCTCCCACTCCCTGGTTCTGGCAAGCTGGGAAGCCCAGCCGTCTCCCCACGCACATACTCTTGGTCTGGCTCAGAATGTCCCACATTCTCCAGTCCAGAATGTCACGTGCCTGCGTTGTGTCTGTTGCACAAGAGAGCAACCACAGCTTCAAGCCCTGGAGGGGAAGCTTCTGACTCTCCTTGGTTACCCCCAGCAGATTCCATCTCAAATGAAGTTTGGGATCCCGGCAGGATCTCAAACTCATATTGGGGGTGGCAGCACCTCCAGAATCATACTTGGGAAATGCTGCAGGAGACACCAACCTGCTTTGTGGTGTAAGAAGCCAGGGTGCCATGAGTGCCCAGTAAGCCTGCACCTGAGACAGTCCCCCAGCCAGGAGCAATCGACTGTGCCCTGCCATTCCCAAAGCCAGTCCCACTTCTGGACTTCTAGTTACCTGACTCGACAGAGTCCTTTTTTTCTTTTAGATTTTATTGTGGTGAAATACACAGAACAAAACATTTGCCATTTCAACCATTTTTAAGTGTACAGTTCATGGACATTAGGTTCACCATGTTGTGCAACCGTTACCACTATCTCTTTCCAAATTTTTCCATCACTCTTAACAGAAACTCGTATGCCTTATGCAATACCTCCCCATTTCTCCTTCCCACCCGCCCCTGGTAACCACTAATATACTTTGATCTCTATGCATTTGTCTAGTCTAGATATTTCATATAAGTGAAATCATGCAATATTTGTCCTTTTGTGTCTGCCTTATTTCACTCAGCATAATGTTCATCCATGTTTTAACAATGTATCAGGACTTCCTTTCTCTTTATGGCTGAATAAAATTCCATTGTATGGATATACCACTCTTTGGTTATCCATTTGTCTATTGATGGACACTTGGGTGGTTTCTATCTTTTGGCCATAGTGAATATGCTGCAATGAACATTGATGTACAAGT